AAAAATTTTTTTTTTTTTTTTTTTTTTTTTTTTTTTTTTTTTTTTGGAAATCCAAATTCTTTATTTGCTTTCATTTTACTCCTGCTCCAATGTATATTTTATTATTAAAGTTTTTTTTCACTCATTCACTTTACTCACTTTAGTTACTTGAATTTAAATTAAGAATTTTGTTGTAGTTCTTGTTGTTGTTCGTTTGCTTGATTCTTAGGGTAGAAAAATTTTAATTTATTTTTTTTTCTTTTTGCTACCATATTTGAAAAATTGAGTGATAGAAACGAAGAGAAGAAAGAAAGAATTTGTATGTGATACAAATTTCCAAAAAAAAAATGGTTACAAATATTACCATCCATCCATTGGAGGGAGAGAGTGAGTGAAAGTGAAAGTGGAAAAAAAATCATCAATTTTATTTCAAAGAATGGGGTGTGTGCATGAACACATCACATCACCAAGACAGTTATTCTATTATTATTATTTTATTATTGAGCATATGGAATTTCATTCATTCGTGCTACTAAATATCGATTGTTTTCTGATTTCTGATTTTTTTCCTATAGATTCCAATTCTGCTTTTTTGATAGAATTTTTTTCTTCACATAAACATTGTCAACAATATTGAACAACAATATCCATCATCGTTATCAATCAATAATAAATTAAGGTTGTTTTTGGCTTGTTTTTTGTTGTTTTCATTCATTCATTTGATATTCTTGATTCTGTTATGTAATTACATTTTTTTTTCTTGAATATTGTATCCAATTTATAAATAGATTGAAAATGATGATGAATAAAGTGTGATTTTATTTTAAGTTGTTGCTGTGATAACATCTTTTTTTTGCATACAATTTTTGAATTTCAATAAAAAATTGATAGGTCAGAAAAAAAAACTATAATAATTTTCATGAATTTTTTATAAATTTTTTTGTAAAAAAAAATTCAAAGAAAAAACTTTTGCTTTCAATACTGTGTGAATACTTGTGGCCCGCTTGACAATTTGTAAATTTTTTTTGCTCGTTTTTTTTCGGCCAAAATATTGATTGATTTCCAATCGATAACAACTGGTGACAACAGAAAAACAACATTTGATTTCTAATACCGAATAGTGAAACCGAATTAATTCACATATGAAAGAATTTCATTTCAAATTTATTCGAATCGATGGTAAACATCTTTTTTTTCGGATTCTATTGCTGCTATTTTTTTCGTTTTGTTTTTGTTTTTGTACGATTGAAAATATCCATCTACCAAATGGATTGAAAACTTTTTTTTCTCTGGCTCGTTTATATATTGATGTTCCAAATCTTTTTGGATCGAAATTCTTTGAATTATTCCTTTCTCTATCTTGTTCGGTGTTCAATAATGTTTTACTTAGCTATAATAATAATGATGATGATGAAACATAAAATTCAATTTCAAATCAATTTCTCATCATCACTTTATCATTTGATGAGTGAATGGTACATTATAATGTTTTTCTCGTTTTGTTTTGTCTTCATGGATGGATGGATAGACGATAGTTCGATGGTTTGATGATGTTGATGAAAATTGACAACCAAATACAAATAAACATGTAGAGATAGAGATAGAGAAAGAATAAAATGACAAAAGCATCATTGTATCGAATAATAATAATAATAATAATAAAAAGAATCAAAAATGTTTTAAAATGATTATTGTTTTTTATTTTTATTTTTTACCAGTTTAGCTATTTATTTATTGATTACTTATCGATTATAATCGATACTTTTTATTTTATTTTTTTTGTTTTGAAAAAAATGAAACCAATTTTCTTACACAAAGTGTGTGTTTGTATATACAGCTGATGTTTCTAATACGGACGGAAGGAGACGAAGCACAAAGAAAAAAGAAAATATTTCAATTTCAATTGCAGAATTTTTTAGTCTGCATTGGCGCCATAATAAATGATAGTAATGGTAGTGGTATAAAAACCGTATAACTTGAAACAAAAAATGTTGAATTTCGTCATTGCAGACATCATCAGCCAGAACCAAAAAGAGGAATATATATTGAGAAGAAAGAGAAAACAAAAATACCAAAAGAAAATATACATACACATTTTATTTATCAACATCATCATCGGTCTCTCCGGTCTTGATTCAACAACAAGACAACAAAACATTGATTCAGTGTGATAAAGTTTTTTCTCTTTTTCTCTCTCTCTCTCTCACTCTATACGGTCCAGTTATTTATTCATCCATCTATCCATCCATTTTATCCATCCAACAAATAAAGAAAAATATATATATTTTCAGTTATAATCACAGTGATTCATCATCATCATCATTCTCGATGATGATGATGAACAAAATCACGAGCGTCAACACGAAACCGGACGGATATATGAAGAATATCTTCTTGTTGTCTTTCTTCTCATAACAAAGTGTGTGTGTTGGTGTGGATGAATGTTTGCTTGTTTTTTTTTGTTTCTTGCCTTTTGAAACATTCAAGTCAACATAGTTTTTCTTCATTTTCATAATCATATTCCTGAATCATAAAGATGATATGAGATTTTCTTTTTCTTTTCTTTGTTTCGATGGTCATTTCCCTTGTTGTTGTTTTATCACGATTATTCATCCAGGCATTCATCAAATACTTGATTTGATGTAATTTATGCTTGTTTTTTTTAGTGTTCGGTGTGTGTACACGTGCTTCATTTACAAAAATTTGTGATATTTGTTGTGTGTTTTATTTTCAAATGAAACAAAAAAAAAACTTTTCACCTTCTCGCCAGAACAAAACGAAAAAATAAATTTTCATCTTTTCAATTGGAATTTAACAAATCTGGATTTTAGTGGATGAAAGTTAAATAGTTGCATAATCATCATTTCCATCCCCCCCATTCAACTACCAACAACAAATTCATCCATAAGTTGATTCAATGGAATTAAACAAAAACAGAAAAAAAAGTTTAAGTTTTTCACAAATATTTTCAACAAACATCAAGCAATCACAATGTTGTATACCAAAAAAAAAAATTTTATGGAAAACAAAAAATTTTCCTGTAACAATGGAACAAAAAGAAATATTTCTCGAAAATAGAAAAAAATGAAAATTTCATTTCAAATGTGTGTGTTTATTGGATTCATCCGCTTTTTTTGTTTGTTTCAAAACAAAGTCAGTAAGATCGAATCTGTATGAAACAAAATGATGAAATTTACAATAACAACAAAAACAATAACAAAAAAGAAGAAAAAAAATTTCATATTTTTTTTTTGCTAAATTGAAATTTGAGCATCAACATCATTGAACATTGTGCAACAACAACATTCCATTGTTTTGTAAATTCTTATCACCATTGATAATAATAATAATAATAATATACACCAGAAAGTGCGAGAGAGGGAGAGGGGAGAGAGAGAGAGATAAATATATTTTTTTTAGTTTTTTGTTTTTGTTTTTTTTTTGGAAACATAGAAATGGCTTCAAGCTATGGAAAACGAACATGGTTCCATGAATTAGTTGGCATCATTTCATTGGTATGTTTCATTTTATTTTATTCGTTTCTCTCCATTCTCCATTCATTGAACCAAATAAAAATGTTTTTTTTCTCTCTCTCTCTCTCATTTCATTGAAAAAAAAAGAGAGATCAAGAATTATTATCATTAGTTTCAACTTTGTAGAAGATAATAATAATAATAAAAATAATTTAAATTTTTAAGAATAATGACATGATAGATGTGTGATTCCATTTTTTTACGAATGTGTTTTTTATGTGTGTGTGTGTGTGGATTTTGAATGTAAATTTTTTTTTTCGGTTATTCGTTCGGTTATCCTAATGTGTGAAAGAGAGAGAGAAAAAAAAACTATTAACCAAAAGAAAATTATATGCATTATAATGATGATGATGAGAATAATATTGCCAAAATATAAATTCTTTTTATTTAAAACCAGAAAAAAAGAAAAAGAAATTCTCTTTACACATAGGGATCAAATTCATTGCGTAAGAATATTCTGTTTTCTTTTTTTCAATTTTCATTTTCATTTCATCGATTTAAGATTATAATATACGTGTGTTGGTGTTGGTGCTGGTATTTGAGTTCAATTTCAATTTTTCCATTTGATTTTCTATTTTTCAAAATATTCAATTTTCATTTCGTTTCGTTTCGTTTGAGAAAAAAAAAACAAATTTTTCATTTTATTCCACTTCATATTTTACTTATTTACTTGTTGTTTTTATTTATTCACTACTAGAATTATTTTGCAAATAAATATATATCGATATTGAATTTTTGTGTTTTTCTTTTTTCTAGCTATCAATGATTGCCTGTTTTTTAATGTTGGATCATAAACCCTGTCAAATACCGTTGTTGCCTCGTGAAGAATTATCTCGTTGGACTACAAAACCAATAACCGGTACTGAAATATCAACAAAATCATTACGTGAAAAAAATCAAACATTAATTGCTGAACAGATGGAATTATTTATTGAAAATTATTATGATTCATTACAAATATTTCAGATTATAATTGGTTGTTGGTCGATTATTATTATGTTATTTGGTATAATTAATATTGTGCCCAAACATGAAGATTTTAAAGTGATGACTATTTTGCTCGTAAGATTTCATTTTCTTTTTTTTCTTTTTTATTTTGTTTTTGTTTTTAATGATCAACCAATTTGAATAATTTTCTCATTCTGATTTTTTTTTTCGTTTTCTCGCTAATAATCACTCGCACACACACACACAGATGGTATTAATTATGGGATTTGCAGCCCTATTTGCCTTTTATACAGCATTTATAGCATTCCATAAACCATGCCGTGCATTGACAACAACAACAACAACCTCTTCAACTTCAACTACCAGTACAACAATAAAACATCAACAAGAAATAATTCCAATGACACGTGCTAATTTACGACAATTACGTTATTATTATAGCCAACAATTATTACAACAACAAAATAACAGTAACCATAATCAACAACAACAACAAGGCCTTAAATCAATGATATTAAATACAATTAATAACAATAATAATAATGTAAATAATCAACAACAACAACAACAACAGAAAAATAAATTTTTAACAACAATATTATCAAAATTTTGGTTCAATAATAATAATAATAATAATAATTCAAATCAAACAAATATTATACAATTACCATCATCACCGGATCAATTAATTTATATGTTAGAATTTCGTTCAATAAAAGATAAACGTCCTGTTAATGTTTTTGAAGATGAAGATGATACAATGATACGTATAACATTAATTAATTCATTGGTTGGTTTTATATTATTATGTTCAGATTTTTTATTCTTTTTTGATTCAAGACAACATATGATTGAATGGCGTAATTAATTGAAGAAGAAGACAAAAAAAAAAATGTCTCTTCCTCTGATCTATTATTATTTTCAGGGAAAAAAAGAAAGAAAATTATAAAATCTAATTTAAAATCAAGATGAAGAACGGAAAAAAATGAATTGGGAAAAATCTATTGGGAAAAATTAAATTCAGAAAATTTCAATCTTTTTTTCCTACAATAATAATAATAATAACGATAATCATTCAACTGTAATATACTGTATAAGGAACAGATAATCAACATTATCATCAATGGAAATCGTTGAAATTAATATGAATTTTTTGTCGCATCGATGAAGATGAAATCATGAAAAAACAAAACAAAAACAGAATGATAAATTCTTGAATCAAATCCTTTTCTCTCTTTTCTTTTTTTTTCATTTTCTTATCGAATGATTATAATAACCGGTTCCAAAATAAATAAATAAATAAAATGTAATTAAAAAAAACAATGGTAATTACTAATTTCAAGTTATTTAATGTTGTTGTTGTTGTTGATAATCATTATCATCATTGAATTATTATTATCATTATTATCTTTAACTTTGTTCATTTTTCATTCAATGATGATGATAATTAAGTTGTTAAATGGATTTCTATTCATTTTATTTAATGGGAAATATATATCACTTTCTGTTTTCTATTACTTTTTTCATTTCGATCTTTAGTTTCGGTATATACAATTTACAAGAATCAATTCTTTGTTTCTATTTTTGTTATCATCATCATCATCATTATTATCTGTGTAGGTATCAATTTCTTTTAAATTACATTTGGGAATTCAAAAACAATTTCAAACATAATAACAATAACGATGACGATAATGTGTTTATGTGTTTGTTTTGTGTTTGTTTTTCCTAAAATTGTTTAAAATGAAAATCAATCAATTTGAAAAAATGGTGACCATTGAGAATTTGATTAATTTCCAGCAATTCAAGTGTTGAATTAATAACACGATTGTTTTTACGATGAAAAATTTATCAAAACAATTAAAATTAATTGATTTGAAATTTTGTGAACAGTTGTTTTTCACATCATTGATGAAAACAAAAAACAATTAACCATTTTGCCTAATACATTTTGTTTTTGTTGTTTTCGTTGTCCATAGAGAATTTGAAAAATTGTTTCTTTTCCATCATCATCATCATCATCATTTAAACTTTTATCATTTCAATGATTTTCTCGATTCGATCAAATCGGAAATGTTTTTTATTTTCATTCGATCATCATCATCATCGTGATCAAAATGAAGAAACAAAAATTACTGTTTGTTTACTGTTGATCATCCAGAAAATGGATCCTTTATAACCAATTTTTTTCATCATCATCATCATCATCCATTTCAAACATTGATATTGAAAAAAAAACGAAATATATTTTACGTTTTTTTTTTGCTGATAAAATCCTGCCATTCAAGTCTGTAAAGTTTTCATCAATAAACATTTTTACAACAACAAAAAAAAGAAAAAATGTTTCAACAAACACAAACAAGACTCAGTCCAAAACCCGAAAACAAACATCCCCGAGAACAAGAAACATTAAAAATCATCAACAACCGGAATTCATTTTATTCATTCATTTGTAGCAAAAAAAAAGAAGCGAAAAAAAAAAAAATTTTTTTCGTTTATTTTTCCGCGCTGTCTGTAGTTTTTAAAATTATTATTATTCTATAAATAAATGTGGTAAAGTAAAAATGTTGTTGTTGTTGTTGTTGTTTCACAATATAATCAACAACATCATCGAACGAACGAACGAAACATCAAACACTTGAAAAAAATGAACATTTTTTTTCTGGTTGTTGTTGTTTGAAACATCCTAATCATCATCATATGTCTCATTGAACAGATAATTATCGTTTGTTTTTTTGTTTTGTTTTTTATTTTCAAGTATGCCATAATAATAATAATAATGATGATGATGTAAAAATTAGTAACTAAATGACTTTTGATGAAGTATTTTATTATTAGTAGTTTGTTGTTTTTTGGTTAATTTTATCTATAGAGTTTGTTTATTGAAATAATTATTATCATTAATTTTTATGAAATGGTTTGGTAAATGACAAAATGGATTGAGTCATGTTAAATGAATCGGTTGACAACTTGGATATATGAAAAAAAAAATAGTGAAAAACTTTTCATATTTGATTCATATTCTTGAATTGAAAAAGTTTCTTTTTTTTTTCCTATTCGGATTCCATCTTGTTGTTGTTGTTGTTGTTTATCGTCATTATTTTATACTTAAAAAAATATCATCATCATCATCATAGAGAATCTCAATGAATGTAATTTGATATTTTCATTACATTCATTTCACTTTTGTCGTTTGTCATTGAATCGATGAGGGTGATGATTCTATTCTATTGTGTGTGTGTGTGCGTGTGTTTCAAAATTTCAATTTAGATTTTGTTTCCGTTCACGGTTTTATTATACACACACACACACAAAATGTATCGAAAAAATAAGAAATAACCGGAAAAATGTTATTCCTGACGATTGATTACACAATTATCATTCTTATCATTATTATTTTTTTTTCTTTTTTGCTTTTCAATGACAATCATTCTCCCTATTCAACCGAAAATTTATTTATTTTTTCTTCCTGCACATTATATCAGTAAATGTCAACTAATTGAATTGAATTTTGAAAGAAAAATTTTTTTTTTCTTTCCTGATAAAACCTGATCATTATTATTACCAATGTGCAAGAGTTTTGATGTTTATATAAAATCGTTTTGCGTGTGTATATAAATCATTTGGAATTAAGATTTAGATTACATCTGTATTTTTTTTTCTCGATTTCATCATTTGGGGAAGAAAACTTTATCCAACTAGGACCGAAAAAACGAAATGACCATAGAGGATTTCTTGAATCTTGGAAACAAAACAAAAAAAAAGTTTCACAACCTCAGTTTGATAAAGTGTGATAGTCGATAGAAGAAAGGAAAAATAAATTGCAATTCGAGAAGTGAAATTTTTTACTCTAAATTCCTATGTGAATCGATGGAAAGTTTGATAAAAAATAATTACTATTATATGTTGTAAATAAAATGATACAGATTTTATTAATTTGATTTTTTTTTCTTTTGGACATATTATATAAACAACAACAACAAAAAACAACAACAACAATAACAACACCATCAATCAATTAACAATGATAAAATATTTATAGTAATTCAAAAAAAAAATTAACTAGAAATTTTTGTAATATACAGGAATATCAATTAAATGAACAACAATTTGTTCGTATTCTTTGTATGGTTGGTGATATATTCTGTAAACGAAATGTACCAATATTAAACGATCCATTTGTCATATTTGATGGTGATGATGATGATGATGATGTATTACCATTGATATGATTATTTGTATTATTATTATCAATTGTTGATGGCATTGTTAATAATTTACGTTCAACTAAACGTTGTGCAATATCCTGAAATAATTGATTAACATTATTTAATTGTAATGCTGATGTTTCCATAAACATATCGAAATTATGATTTTGTGCAAATTGTTCACCAACTTTTGTTGGTATTTCCGATTCTTTATCGCATTTATTACCAACTAAAACTTGTAAGACATTTGTACCTCCATCTAGTGATGCTAAAATAAAATTTTATGATTTTGATTATAAATAAAAACAGCAATAAAAACAACATACAGGTAGTATAATTTTCAATATCACGACACCATTGTTGTAATGAATCAAATGATGGTTGTGATGATATATCATAAACAAGTACTAAACAATGTGCACTACGATAATATGATTGTGTTATAGCACGAAAACGTTCTTGACCTGCTGTATCCCATAACTGTAAATTAACACGTATGCCTTTGAAACAAATAAAAAATTGAAATAAATTAGTCCAAAAAAGGAAAAAAAACAATAAATAGACATTAATATCAAAAGAAAATGATTTACATTTGTAAATTATTCATTAATGAAGGTAATCGAGATATTTTTGTAGGAGGATAATTTAACAGCAAAACAAAAAACAAACTTACCATTAACCATCATAGGTTTAATCATAAAATCAACACCAATTGTTGCACCTTTATTAACAGGAAATTCACCTTGTATAAATCGTCTAGCTAAACAAGTTTTACCAACACCAGAATTTCCAATCAAAATAACTTTGAATAAAAATGTTTGATCTTCCATCGTTGTTTGTTGTTGTTTTCAATTTGTATTCAAAATCAATCCTATGAACGGACAGAGAGAGAGAAAGAGTAAAAATGACAATTATTTTGTTTTTTTTTCTATAGAATCAAAATCAGAAGAAAAAAAAATTTAAAACGCAGATTAAATTTGATTGATAATGTTGAGCTGCTGCTGCTGTTGTCAGGTAAACACTAACCAACCAATAAAACAATGATTTTACAGCAATTTTTTTCCGTACAAAAAAAAAATTTCCTGTTTCAAAATCTACCGCGCAGAACAGTTTATGGTTGAAAATTTTTTTACGAATGAAAAAAAAAACTTACCTTCAATATTTGGTGTTGATGTTTGGATCTTGGAACACTTTACAAACAAACAAACAAAAACAAAACTTGTGATACACAAAAACCACACCTTTAAGAAATAAACGAAAATAAAATTTGATAATTTCGTTGTTTGTTTTTCGTTTCTTATCTTTTTTCGTTTATCGTATATGGAAGAATTGAATAACAATATTATTCATTTATAGAAAATGTCAAGTTTTGTCACTCTTTTTTTTTCTGGTTTTGGTTGGCTGAATGACTATATTGTTTTTTTTTCTCTGTTTTTCAACTACAGGTGCAAACTAATTACCTTTTCTTTTGTTTCAATACATTTGTTCCAGAAAAACTTAGTGGAAAACAAATGAACCAAACCAGATGTTTGATTGATGAGTAACTTTTTTTTTGTTTGTCAAAAATGCACATCACACACAAAACAAAAGAAAAGTTGAATTTGATTTGAACCAGTTTTTTTTTGATTTTTACAACATTCGTCCAAATAAGTTCATTTGATCATCGTTTGATTGATTGATCGATGTCGATTTATTTTTTCGATTGAAATGTTTTCATTTTTCTGAAATTTCAAGTTATGAAAAATTGTTATTTTTCATTTTTGTTTTCTGTCATGGTTCGATTGATTTTTTTTTTTTTTGTTGTTGAATGATGATGATAATTATGGGGTTGAATACCAAAAAAAAAGAGAAAGATCAAAAATATTTTT